ATAAACGTTAACTATTATTTCCTCAAAAACAATATTAACTCGTGTTATGAGTGAATAGTAGAGAGAGAGAGAGAGAGAGAGAGAGAGAGAGAGAGAGAGAGAACATGTAATGTGTATATAAAAGCTTTTATACTTAATTAAGTTTTTCGCATTTAATATAAGATATATAGGGTTAGTGTCAACACAATTATTAATGATTGACTACACACGGGGTATACGACTGTATGTATACAATGTTTTTGTGTTTAAGTGACGTAAACACTACTAAATAATAGTTAACGTTTATGTTGTTTTTGTTTTTAAGACTCGAGGCATCATGGTTGAGTTTTTCTGTGCATTTCACAGAATATTCTGTATAAAATACTTTTAATCAAATTAATTGCTTTGACTGTACTTTTGTGGCCGACGAGTCCCGCGACTTCTTCCTTGAGTCCATTAAACCGTTGAAATTAATTGTGTTTTTATATATCATTTGAAAATACCATTTATTTCCTCAAAAACAATATTAACTCGTGTTATGAGTGAATAGTAGAGAGAGAGAGAGAGAGAGAGAGAGAGAGAGCAAATAATAGCCATACATGTAATTACAGCTCATTTTGTGGACACCCCGATGAAGAAGAGTGAGGCAAAGGCTCATTGCGATGGTTTAGGCCGTACTCTAGCGATGCCTCTAAACCTAGAGGAGCAGCGATTCATTGAGGCGTTTGCCCGCAAAAAGCTAGAAGACCCAGAAGTGAGGACAGGGAAAAACATGCAGGTAAATACGAACCATGCACGTTTTATCATGAAAGTTTATTAATTTTGATATTATATACAATACTGTATAATACAGTTCTGGATCGGCATCTCTGACGAGCAAATGGAGGAGCACTGGATGTACGACGACGAGAGTCCGGTGTCCGACAAGTTCAGCGCCTGGGCTACGGGTCAGCCCGACAACGGCGGCCCCTATGGCTCGAGTGCCGAGAATTGCGGCGCAATCGGCGAAAAGGCCGAAATGAAATGGACGGACGTTAACTGTAATCTCAAATTAAAATTTTTCTGCGCCTAAAACTATAGTCGACAACAAAATAGTAGTTTTTATTTTTAATTAACTTATTTTTTAAAATATATTTTCTATTTTCAAGACAACAAAAATAATGATTTATATCTCAATCAACAAAAATATGATGTATTTATTTATGAACATTGTCTACGATAAATATCTCTTTAGTACACGTGTTTAGCTTTAGTTTAGTTTATGTTTTGTTACAAACAAATTATTAATAATTTTAGTGCAAATTGTGTTCAATTAGTGTAAAATTAGGGAAAATTCCGTCAATTCTTACGATTGGTTTAATATAAAGTTATTTATTATAGAGAATTACATAACATTTATTACATTTTGTTTTTATGGATTGTATTTTCATGTTTAATAAATGTATTTATTGTTTGTTTGTCGTGATCTCTCTCTCTCTCTCTCACACACACACACACACACACTCACTCT